ATTACCGAAAAAAAAAGAAAAACTGTTAATTGGAAATGACAGAAACAGTATCGTTAGAATACATAAGAATGAATTCCTTATATTAGTATATCAGCATATCTTTGAAAATGTAATTACAGTTGCTATTAAAATTTAAATATCTAAAGAATGTCAAAGGAATAATTCCTTTAAGACATGCCTTTGCCATCTCAATTTTATTTATGGCTATTATCACTCTATTATAATCATTATTTTTAGCAATGCAGAAACATTTAGTGTATAAAATTCCATGAAGCTTGACATTTAGTGATTTGAATAATTAAAAACAAAAAACAAAAAACTTCAACACCAAGAACTAATACCAAATTTTTTTTTTATGTTTTCATGAACAGTAGCCCATGAGATTAAAAGAAATCTACTATGTTCTGTATTGATCCGACTTTTAACAATTTGAACTGTATTCATGTTGACAAATGTAGAAATGGTATGAATGAGAATGAATATCTTCACAATATAAGAGATGTATTTGACCAGTTCCAATTATATCTTCGTCAAAAATACATATATTTCTGATAAAGATATAATCAAAATCGGTCAAATACATTTCTTGTACTGTGAAGAGATTCATTCTCATTTATACCTTTCCTATTTTAACAATTTATGCAGATTTAACACACTTTTCAGAACTTAACAGTCTGTATGTGCATTTTAACATGAGCTCATGTTAGAATGAATTTCAGACTATGGAGAGGATTGTTCACTAATTTATAGTAAATTTATTCTTTTCTATATATAGAAGTATACACTTCTGTTATACGTGAAGTATTATTTCTGGCAAAAACATTAATACTAATTTCCTTAAATTTTTACATTTGTGCATTCAAATTCAAGAAGAAAGAAAGAAAGAAAGAAAGAAAGAAGAAGAAAAAAAAAAAAAAGGGGAAAATAGACATCAGGATTGTCCTTTCTGATAACAAAGCAATTATAACACACTTACCATACGAAACAATAACAGTTTCCGCTTTAATGTTAGGAAACTTCTTCCTATTCTGCATGTAGTAATCAGCAAAATACGGATTAGGATCTACTACAGTCAGGTGAGAACCATCTGGGTAGAAGCTGAAGTTTGTTCCTGAAGAATAAATGGATAATTTATGAAAAACTATTGCAATTAACATTACTACACTACATTGTCTTAACCATAAGTACCTAATATATAAAAAGGTACAAGCAAACATTCCCTCCCTTTTGAGGAACTACTAAAGGAAGAAGAAGAAGAAGGAAAAAGAAAAGAAAGAAAGAAAAACTGTTAATTGGAAATGACAGAAACGGTATCGTTAGAATACATAAGAATGAATTCCTTATATTAGTATATCAGCATATCTTTGAAAATGTAATTACAGTTGCTATTAAAATTTAAATATCTAAAGAATGTCAAAGGAATAATTCCTTTAAGACATGCCTTTGCCATCTCAATTTTATTTATGGCTATTATCACTCTATTATAATCATTATTTTTAGCAATGCAGAAACATTTAGTGTATAAAATTCCATGAAGCTTGACATTTAGTGATTTGAATAATTAAAAACAAAAAACAAAAAACTTCAACACCAAGAACTAATACCAAATTTTTTTTTTATGTTTTCATGAACAGTAGCCCATGAGATTAAAAGAAATCTACATGTTCTGTATTGATCCGACTTTTAACAATTTGAACTGTATTCATGTTGACAAATGTAGAAATGGTATGAATGAGAATGAATATCTTCACAATATAAGAGATGTATTTGACCAGTTCCAATTATATCTTCGTCAAAAATACATATATTTCTGATAAAGATATAATCGAAATCGGTCAAATACATTTCTTGTATTGTGAAGATATTCATTCTCATTCATACCTTTCCTTCTTTTAACAATTTATGCAGATTTGACACACTTTTCAGAACTTAACAGTCTGTATGTGCATTTTAACATGA